TAGTATTCCAGCTTCTTCAGCTCTTAGGACGGTATTTAAAGGGCTCTCTGTGCAAAGATGGTAGTGAAGACGAGAAACTAGTAACGGAAGCTTGAGCGCTAACTTCAACTTTGAATTTCAACGCTGATAAGTCGGCGGAGAAAGAGTATCATAATGCCTTCATTGAGGCGCGTTTCCCCTTCACCTTTTCAGAAGAAGGAACGCATCAATGATATAATTAACAAACTAATTGGTAATTACAAACTGAGTAAAGTGCTGAATTTTTCTAGCATTTTCAAAGATTTATTCAGCTATGTGCACCGTTCAATTCGGCCAGTATCGAATCCAGATTGAGGAATTGTAGAAGAAGCGAATCCAAGTGCCATAAATCGAAGAATTCAATTTGCCGATGTTTTTCCACAAAATCCAGACCAGTTGACTGTAAAAAGTTCAGCGTTAGTAACAAGCCAATAGGTTCGGAAAATGCTTTGGAAAATTATCAAAATTCGCGACCGCTCTTAATGACATGCTCTTCTCGACATGCTCTTTCGTTCAGAGTGATGCGATCATTGGCGCAGTTCGGCGACGGGAGGGGAGCATTTTGCACTTTCACTACTTCTGGTCCCACTCTGGTGAAACTTGTGAACTCTTGTGAAGCTGGAGCAAGCTCGTCTAGCCACCATGGTAAAACGTGTCAACTCAAGAAAAGGCTATCTAGATGGGTCGACACATCAATGAGAAGCAAAATGCCCCCCCCCCGTCGCCGAACTGCGCAGCGCTCATTTGCTCAATGAGCGCTTTTTGCATCGTGCTAGTTGTCAAATAATGAGGGCAGCTACAACAGAACAACAAAGTACGTCCTTATTACACCTTGTCATATAAACAAATCGAGGGAAGCCCACGCTGCTCGCAGGGGAGGACAGGGCAGGTCATCGTTTTGACTACACAAACAGAACGGGTGTGGTACTATGTCTGGCATGTGGGGAGAGGATGGTTGCATTTGGCTTTGGGAAAGGAAATTTTCTCAAGCGCCCAACCCCACCGCCTACCCATTACGCGGCTGAGTGCGGTACTACTATTTCGGATGGTTGACCTGGAGTGTCCTGGAGACGTAATCCCTCCCCTAGCACGAAAATTCTGGGAAGTTTAGTAATGCAGGGATGGGTTGTGAGAGAAGATTGCATGGATGGAAGAAAGGGGGGGGCGTACATAGCGTTGAAATGTTGCTATGTACGACCCCCCCCTCCCCCTCCCTCCCCTTGTTCACACAACGCAATGATGTGACATGTGGGAGGGGCCGGCCCTATGACTGTGCATCTGTGCATTCCTACTGGTGCGTGCTCTTCTTTCTACTTCCTCAGAAATTACAGGCCGCCCAATAAGGAAGTTATAAGAGCAGGGTATACATACAGTAGTTTTTGCTGCAGACGCTGGGGCGTGTCAGGGGGGGGGCGGTTTTGGCGCGGCGCTTGCCCGTTGCCCACCACTTGTTGTCGCTTTCCGCTCCAGTAGCTGGTAGAGAACGGGCTCGCGCCGCGCCGATCCTCAGTCCTGACAAGCCCAAGCGTTGCAGTGAAAATCACCGTACGATAGCGTTTGCGCTGCCTGCAAGTACAGACTGCCCAAAAAGCTATTGTCAACCAATCATGCAGTCAAACACTTTAATGATTCCAGGTGAAGGACGAACGCATGGCGTATCGCAGAGAAAGCCTTCAGCTCTGACCCCTTTACCGTTCTATTCTTCGACAAGATAATTGAAAAATCACGAAAGAAATTTTGAATAATTTTAAAGAGACTCACGAAAATGGAACTGAGTAAGAGGATGATTGAACCCATTCGTTCGGCTGCTGGGATGTTGTTCTAAAGAAAATATTATGAGAACTTTATTCCTCGAGGAAAAAGCGTTGATTGACATTCCTTGGATGGAAGCTATGCCCTAGATGAGCTATGCAGTTTTGGGCAGCGTTCGAACCAGGCCAGGAGGTTCAAAATTGCAAGCCCAGAATTCAATCCTGCGGCACAAGCATGTGCGGTAATCTAACCACTAGGCTACTTTCACCTGAGCCAACGATTTCGCCTTCGTACATCGCGATATAACATCCGCGACTGCGACTAGATTACCTCAAATCGCGATACTATGAAACGTAGGCCGTCGGAAAGTATTTCATTGCTCATGACTTGCCGATAGAAGCGCTATAATGAATCCTTGCTTCGTCTTGGAAAGCGCAAAGACTTATGACAGATGGTATCATCCGATATTCAGCGGTGATTCAGCGGTTGCTCCGCTAAATTACGGAGAACACATACTACGATTGCCATTAGGAAGGCTTTGGATCAGCCCTGGTCAGCCTACGGCTTCATGTCATCCCGGATCAGTTTATGAAACCTGTAGGCGCCACCAGGCACTTCCCCGCTATCGCCATGTGAATTTATTGAGTGAAGTCCAACGAACCCGTTGATAATGCAGGTGAAGTGAATTGGATATAGCGTCGATCTGCCGTCGCATAGCGTCCCTACCGTGTACGGAGACATTGGAAATAGCTGTTGACAAGGTTTATTCAAGGCAGTAAAGTACAGTCACCTCCTTGCCAACTGACAAACGCCTTCAAAGCCACAAACTCCTCAAATGACAGTTCCAGAGTCAACATTGGCGGAATTATTTCTGACATTATTTTTTTCAGCAGCGGAAGATAAATCCTTGAAAATATTTAGCTAAATGATTGGTCTATCGTTCATCACTATTAGGTGTTAAACCGATTTGCAACGGAAAACACTACTGACTTCAGAGGCCCATTCCATGCTGACCTTATGGGCGGAGCCAGTCAGCTGCGGGTGCTGAAAGCGAGGATCGCACCAAAGCGGAGTGCACAAAGTTTGACTCCGCCCACATGCTCAGCGTGGAGTAAGTCTCTGCAATGAATAGTTGTACCTATGCAGCAGTGCTCCTATACATGACTACACAATTGGGAATGAAGCTTAGAGCCCTTCAAACAAAAACCAATTTTCTTCGTCTTCCTTGAGCAATACTTACGATTTCTTGACATCGGTAGAAATCTCTCTTTCCCCTTGCCAGCCGTCTTCACATCCTTCGACACAGGAGACGTAGCCGCCATTTTGCATCACAAACCGGTCAGGATATCTTAATCATAAAAATTATTTTCGAACAAAAACTAAAATTACTGAACGTAAGTCACATATAAATAATGAGGGTCATTACAGCGCCTATACCTCTTCAGAGGCGAGGACAGCTGGAATGCTCTTTGAACACTGAGATAAGTAGCCAAGTATCCATTCCTCTGGGAACTTAAAGGGGTCCTAATTGGTCAAAGACGGCAGTAGCACTGACTCGAACATCGACTACTTTTCGAGTCCTTAATTCCACTCTTCAGGTCTGTTTCTGTCAAAAAAACCTTTCAACCTTTTTGGGTCGATTATTTGGTCCCTAACCTGGGGCAGAAGAGCTACCTCGTATAGTGGTTCCTCCGCAAGTAAAATATTTACTGAGAGGACCGTCAATCTAGTCTTTACCTTCTCCTTGCGCTTACCTTGGAGGATATCGTCGCTGCGCTGGTTCCCTGAGTTGTTCGCCACCCCTGCTACTCCATGCCGCTGACTACTGGTCGTCCCACTGATGCTTTGGCGCGTATCAGCGACGAGATCTCAGTTTTAGGCCTACCCTTCAACTCGCAAAAGATTGTATAAAAGCAAATACAGTAGAATTTTAGGCGCATCGGTATGGTGGGGGCATTCCACGGGTTCCTATCGATCCTCCTGTGAAGACATGTAAACTCTTGTAAAGCTGTATAGTGGCACTAGCTTCATTCATACCTAACAAATGTTTACAGGTCTAACAAACGTAAGACGTGTAAGTTAACAGAAACTGGTAAGAGAAACAAATGAACTAGAAAATTATTGTAAAAGAAGCGTACCCGATTTGTATGGAAATATAGACCGGATCGAGGATTGTATGAAATAGAACGCACTTTCTTAGAAATGATACCTAAAATCAAGAATGAATTTTGAATTGTTGCACCGCAATTTGCCACCAAGGCTGAAGTGTCCTTTACAAAAATGGGTCAGTCTGGTATGATCGCTAACCCATCTCAGCCAGGGTTATCTGGCCCAAGATGTAGACTAACATTGTTCTAGTCATCCGAGTAATGGTGGCTGTCGCCGGAGTTCTCATTACTCATCTGAATTGTAAATAATAATGGGAACTGTCAAAAAGTTTTATCCAAAAAAACTTTGCTTTCAGAAAAAGATTTCGAGGTGTATAGGATCTAATAGAAGAATGGGTAACAGGGTAAACAGCGTTCGATGGGGATTCCCTATGGGGGGGGTCGTATTTGGCCGCCAAAAGGGGGGGGGGTCGTATTTGGGCTGGGAAAAATTTATTTTTATAGTTGATTTTTCTCTCCTTTGTTCTGTGTTATAGGTACTATGTACGTCGCATGCTACTAACATATTTCCCCCCTTCCGCTCGAATAAAACCAACTTTTTCGACGCGAGTATAAACCACAACCAACAAGTCCCAGCCGCAATGCCAGTGTCATTCATGGAACAAGTCGTCCGCGCGGGGGGGGGGGGGGAAAAGGTATGTGGGGGGGTAAATGTAGTAAGATCATGGCGACGTAATCATCGTACGAGCAATGGGGTCGTAAAAGCTCGACCAAAATCCCCATTGAATGCTGTGCCCTGATGGGTATACAAGCACTCGCACCCATAGATGGAAACCACATTCCACAGCGGACGGAATCCCCTTGGTACTACCTTACGTGAATGAAAGCACGGCAATGAAAGCAAATAACTCCACTTCCAGGCTCCGAAGAAGGCAATCGTGCCGAAACGTTAGCCGTTCACTGTGTATACCAACCTCGTGTGAAGTTTGAAGGCAAATAAATATTCAACGATTATGCCGAGGTTCATCGAGAGCCGGACATGGCGTCAAAAAGCGCCTTCTTACTTTTTCAAGGCCAGATAAATGTGGAAGGGCAGGCTGTAGTTACTGCAATGATACTAAAATTTGTCAACTCAGGGGGACAGTTTATCTGGTGGAATGTCAAGGATGCGGGCAAAAATATGTGGGAGAAACTGGGAGGCCCTTATACAAACGGATCGCGATACGGGGGGCGCTGGGAATCACCTTCTTACCCTAAAGCAGTTTCCCGGCATCGCAATAAAGGAGGCACGCTCACCAAGACCGCCTCTCTTTAAATCGTCAAGTAGCATACCGTGCCTCGATAGAGGGCGCTAATGGAAAAAGGAAAAATATGTAAGAGGCGCTTTGGAAAGAAAATTGCTACCAACCATGCCCCCACCCAAGAAAACATAAAGGAGGAACTACGGTGAACATTATGCAAAGTCATAATTGATCACGTCACCGTCGCCACTATTTTAATAAAGGTGTGGTTTGAGTGCGTGGTTGTCTAATTTGGCCGGGATATTTGGGTAAGTGGCTCGGTGGAGGGAGGAATCCGTGCGAGGTTGCATTCCTGTAGGCTCATATCCAGCGGAAAACAAGCTAAATAATTTCCAGGCCTGAAGGAAGCATACATATGCATATCGCAAGATAAGATATTTTAAAAAACTTTTGAGTTTTTTGGAATAAACTTTTGGAGTTTCACACATATTACACATTCAGTTTTATAGTCAGATAAAAGCAATGGTCGATAAAACTTACTACTAATCATTGTTTGTTAGTGTTCTGTAATCCTGGCCATGCTTGCAACCACTCGTAGATCAGGAGTATATGCGTCCGAATACTTTTACGAAATGCACGGAACGATAACGGTCGGATGTCTTCGCGAGTATACGGCTGAAAATATATTTTTACGAGTTGTTCCTGTAGTGTGTATTGTGAGTTTTTCATGTACAGTGTGCCATCCGGGATCAAACCCCGTGAGCAGCCTCGGACCAAACATGCCTCTGAATAAGGAATCGGTACCAAATCCGTCTGGGAGGAGAATAACATTGACTTGCGCATTGGATCGTTCATGAAATTCATTGCTAACAAGGTCACGTCGTATAGCGTTAAAGACAAATTCCTCGCGATTATAAGTGTTCGGTAAATGGTGCTCATCAGCGAAGCAGTGGCTCTCATTTGTAACGCACCACACCAGTGGAAAAAAAAATCGAAAAAAAACGCTGCGAAACCTGAACAGAGACCTCCCTTTACAGTGGCGGGGCCGTGACCCGGTGTGCCGGACGTGGCTGCCAGAAATCGATGCGGCAGCCGCAATTGCGTCCCGACTTTCGAAATAGGATACTTTAAAGGGACGGAAGCAGCTCGGGACCGGACGCCTCGTCCTACCGTGTCAGCGAGCCTAGCGAGCCTTGTGGAAATCGCTATAACTTCCTTATCGCGCCATATTGAGGGATGAAAGTGGTATCATCTTCGTCAAGGCGTAGAGGGTTCCAAAAAGCACGAAGTCATTTTGAGGACCACTTGATCGCGGGGAGTGTCTTTAAGTCGCTACGCTTTTGAAATGGAATGCGTGCTGCATTCCAGGGAGAAAGCGATTAACGATTTCTGTACTTTAATGGATTTATGTACTGTAGTGGGGACTAGCTGGCAGATAAACACAGGTAGTAAAACGTACTTCATCCAGTATTGAGGTTCTCTGGGAGAGCTTGGGTGGGGAGGAGGAAGAGGTAGCGGCGTCTGACAGAGGTATTCCGCGACCCTGCAGAGGGAGTATCTAGAAAGGAATTGAACACATTCCAAGTGAGTGTAAGGCGATTGAAAAATTCCCCTCTCGCAGATAAACGAATGTGGAGGCAGACCAATCTACCTTTTATGATCTGCCACGGTCAGGCGCGACTGCAACCAGTCAGGGCGCTTTTCGGATTATCGGGGTTGGGAGGAGGCAGTTTGCAATTTTGCTAGCTTTTTGTTAGTTCCTGTCAAATGGAAGCCTTGAGGAGGCTTACTCTAAGAAATGTACTGTTTGACATGAGTACAGTAACAATTGGTACAGTGAAGAAAAGCCTTACACAATTTGACGTTTGACCGAGGACCTTGTCGACCGGTCGTTCGCAAAAGAGTATTCGACGTCGTTCGCCTAACTTCATTTCCTCGCGAACCAGCCATGTTAGTACCTCAACAAAAATTACTACTGACTTAAGATTTCGTTACTTGATCGATTTTCTTTGAATTCTGCTTGTACGCTGACCCCTAATAGGAGGCATAATTTCCAAGTATACCGTCGTTGAAGAGAAAAAGTTCAGGGCTGTGATCAGTGAGCTAAATCGCGTCGCCTATCTGTATTGATTCGTCCACTGTGACGCGGCGCAGCAGCACGCGTCATGTTTGATCAGCTTAGAGACGACTATCAAAGAAAACAACTTGTCCCTCTTTTCTTTTTTTTCTGGATTGATATCTCAATTTTTGACACCACAAGTTCAGAAATCTTCTTACGTCGTCGTGTTCATTCCTCATCACAAACGACAGAGGTGACGAAATTACACTTGTACTGTTGGAATACGGTGTCCTGAACTTCTGAAAAAACTATTCTGATTTCAAAAGTTCACGTTGAATATTTCTAAATCCTAGAAGGCTACACACGTGCAAATTATATCAAAGGCACAGTGGTTGCTAACATATAGGCGACGTTACTTGCCCAATTACCCCTTTCAACTGGTACAGAATGATATCGATATATTTAATGGCAAAGGGAAGGAGCGCACTGATGAAGAAACGCAGTGGTTCAGGACACTCCGCCTATACGATCAACATGGAATGGGCCTTCGAGTTACATCTTATAC